AGAGAGTATAATGTAAAATATGCTTTTTAAGATGCCACTTCAAATAGAACATTTTAACTTCACTGTTTAGCTATTTTGTCATTTTTATATACCTTACATTTTTATTTTAAGGTCAAACATTAGCACAATTTCTGATGTCCTTTAAAAGCACTTGCTGAAATGAATTAACTTTGATACGGTCTCATCAGCAGTAATGTGGTTCAGGGCTGAAAAAATCAGATTAATTGTGATTAATCGATTATTGAAATAATCGTCAACTAATTTAGTACTCGATAAATTAAATCATTAACTGGAGTGTAGAGACTCTAAAACATAACTGTTAAGTATATATATATATATATATATATATATATATATATATGGCAAATAAAAATGAGAAAATTAGCTAAACAGTGAACTTAAAATGTTCTATTTGAAGTAATCTGCTTTTGAATCTTAAAACGCATATTTTACATTATATTCTAATAGAGTTAAAACAAGAATAAGTAAAATTAAGACTCTAAAACCTGCTGTAAACTTTTTGAAGCACCCTTGATGTTTTATCAAATAAATGACCTTTGCCACTTTAAACAGATAACTATTAGGATCAGTATTACAAAGTCAGATTGTTTTAGATAAACAGCATTTTCTAAATAGTGTTTATATATTGTGCAAACAATTGGAAAACATTAAATGATAGGAACTTATGAATACATAAAGAAAACAAACATTTATAACAAAAACGTTACAGAAACGGAAGCTATTAGCTGCCAGAAAAATGCTTATGTATATTATATTGTGTTATCATTCATATCAGCTGCAAAACACAAACCAATCAATGAAATACATAACAATATGATTATAAGGTGTTGTTTTTATATTAAAATTGTATAATATAAAGTTATTTAGGCTAACGTTAGCGACACAGAGCTAACACACAGTTCGTGTGAGACAAAACGAAGGATAATTCGAAGCAAAATCAACCCCTTCACATAAAACAGTAATTATATCATATATAATTCTTGCCTTGTATAATTAGACGTATATTGAAACCGAGACTAGTTATTAACTACGGACACTAAACATCGGCTGTTTCAAAATTACCTTAATGCTTACGCCTGAAACATCTCAGCTGAGCTTAAAAATGTATTCACTTCCAACAATTAAAACAAGCAACTGTCCTGTAGTGTTTTAGCCTTAAACAAATGTCTGAAAAGGAACATGGGACATGAAGTTCTTTACAGAATTCAGGAATGGAGCCTTATGAGGAGAGAAACTTCATTACCCAGAAACCCATTCGGCTTGCACACTTCTTCGCCGGTTCTATTTTTGGTAGAGTAAAGCTAGACTTTGCTCTCTGATGCTTCGGTACAATGACAGAGGTCCAAGTACCCAGACTTTGTACTTTAATAAAACGGTAGTTCTATATGTACTGAACTTATCACAACACTTGATTTAATATGTTGGAAGTTTTTTAGTCAGAAAGATCAAACTGTATAAAGGAAATTCTGTTATTTTAGACATAAACTAAGCTAAATAGAAAATAATGATTTA